CGACCGACCGCTATCCTGGAATGAGGGCCAAATTCAATGGTTCGATTGTCAACCAACGAGCTGGTATACTATAATAGCATAGTGCTGTGGTTCTTCTCAGGCCAGCAATGACACTGGGCAAGGCAGACGTGTAAGTCCGGCGACCTTCGCACTGCGTGCAGGTACTTCGGATACATTTCATCACTATTTCATGACTACAGTAGCTGTGATTTCTGGACTCCCGCCCGCTTATGTTGGGGTCGTGCTCACTCCGCTGATATGATCGCCAAGTATCGGTGTGCTAGTCGTGACGACAGTCCTGCCGCAGCCAAGCTCAACGTATCATGACTGTGACCGCCATTACTTGGTGCGGTATTACCGATGAACAAGCTTAGGATCAAGGTTCTATTAGCTATTATGATTGCTACGGTTACTTCATCCACTTCGTGACATCATTAAGCTCACAGTCAGCAGCATAATGTACTGCAAAGATCTCCAGACTCCCTCAAGATTACACCCTTTTTTTGTAACGTCGCTATGACCAATTTCATAGCAACTCACAAATCCTTTGAACTGATGCCATGCTCACGCACGTACTTATCCAGTTTCTAGAGAAATGTTAGCATGCCTCTCTTGTATAGGATGAATATATGTAACTCACCAGTCTCAACGCCAGGTTGCCGTCCATCCAGTCCTCCAGTGACCTTCTTCTTCAGCTTAGCCAGCCCAATTTTGGCCTCGTCCTTCGCAAACTTTGCATTCCGTGCGGGCTTCCACTGCATCAGCCCACGATGTCTCCTCTCTTCGGCTCGCTTGTTTTGCTTGTTAACATCCTTACTGGATGAAGTGTCATCTGTCTCGGCTGTGGTGCTTGTACGAACTGTAGACATCGATTGGCGAGGCTGATGATCCTCAGTGGGCGATAAATCGGTCTTCTGTGACTTCAACTGGCCATTAGTTTTGCTCTGGTCACCTCCACCTGTGCCGCCACTCATGTTTTTCGCACTGCCAACCGTATCCGCATCTTCAACACCAATATCAGATGAAGAAGAGTCTTCGCCATAGTCATCATCAGAGTCATCATTGTCCTCGTTATCGGATGGATGATAACGGTCGTGTAAGGGTTCTTCGACGCCTGGTTCGCGTCTCTTCTGACGCTTGGTGTTCATGTAGGCTTTAGGGTTATCTCCGAAAGCACCGGACCAGTCTTGCCCGTCCTTTGCGAGCCACTTGCGCTTTTCTTCTTCGCTCGCGTTCTTCAAGATATCGCGACCTGTAGTCAATGACTGCTCATGCAACTCTTGAACGCGATCTGGGATCTCCTTCTCGACTTTGTGGTTTCGCACACCTTCGGTAACACACGACTCCCATGTTTCGAATGTCTCGCGGGTGTCATTGTCGGTGATAAAGGCAGCATGTGACTCGTCAGTTCCGGCCTTGAATCGCGCCCGGAACTGTAGGCGACCAACTTCCTGAAGATCGTCGAGACCCGGTTCCTTATGGCAGTTTTCCTCAGTAATGTAGTTCTGCGTGAGTCGAGCAGGAGCAGCAGTTTTCCAGATTGGGATGTTGATGTCCGCATCTTCGTTATCTATGAAATGCTGCAGCCAGATGACTGCGTACGCGTCCGCCTTGCGATGGTTGTTGATATGGAATTCGAAAACAATTGGTGACCTGTAGCGGTGCTTTACTGGTAGTCGGACGTTGTGCTTTCCATTGCTCTCCTCTAGGTCCCAATAGTAGCCATCACCTTCTTGGAGCTTGTGAGAAGCGGTGCGACTCAGCTTGCCGGTGCTGCCGCCAGTCCGCAATTTGATCTTGGGGTGGTGGTTGTAACCCAAAGCCAGGATGCGCTGAGACCGGAACTCAAAGGTACCAACGTCCCAGCCAAGCATTTGAGGTGGTAGACGAGTCTCGATGCTGCGGAACAATAGAGATATTCGTATGCGACCAAAACCGATACCACCATCGAGAGGATACCAGCGTGTGACTTGAGAGGATGTTTCGAGAATGTCAGATAGCTTCAGTGGCACCACGCCCAGAATAGGGTCATGTTCCCTGTTCCTCTGATCGCGCACTGTAACCGTGATGATAGCCGACCGCCAGTCACGAACGAATCGTTCGGTACCCGCGTTGAAGATTGGCTGAGATGAGACAGCTTTTGCCCGAGTTCGGTAGACTAGCTCGTCGTTGAACAAAATCGTGCAGTAACTGTTTGGGAGGTCTCCACCAGTCTCTTCTTTACCCTCCCCGTAAGGCTTTGCAGGCTCGTATTCGCGTCCCTTGGGGTTGGTACTACCCTTTACGTTTTCCAGCTCCAAATTCACGATTTGATGACATACCACACTGCAGATACCGCTAGGCCAGAGAGGATCCGGTGGAGTGTGCATGACAGCGTCATCCTCTTCAGAGTTTATGACACCCTTCTCGTCTTGTAGTTCGGGCTTGTCCTTTAACTCATCTGGAAGAGATTTGTTCTTGCCATCTGTTCGCATCTCCTTCCTGAACTTTGGCTTGGTGAAATAACCAACTTCCCAGTGAAGTTCGCCAGGCATCTCACTGTCAGCCTCCATACCGGCCAGCTTCGAAGTCTGTGGGTACATTTTGCCTGGATGCTGGATCATCTTTTGCATGGAAATTTCGACCTTTCCGACGATGTCATCGGCGGTGTGTCGATCAGAGTCCCAGAGTTCTACACTCAAGTTCTCGTTGGCCTTGATCAGTTCTGGACCAACGAGAACAGCTGCTGTCTCTTCCCAAATTGGATTCAGATCGTCAGTAATAACTCGGGTACAGTACATGGGCTTGCCGTATTTCGAGAATGCGATCGTTATGTAAGGGTCGCTACCACCATGCTTTGATCCACGTCGATCTTGCTTGCTCAGACCGACAGCACGGTGAATACGGATCCAGAGTACACCTAAGGCTTCGGTATCTTTTTGGACGGAGTCGCCTTGAAGGATGGCCCGCATGTCAATAGACATGGACTTCGGCGCGACATACATGCTGGCCGCTGCCTTGATGGCGTAGTTGACAAAGTTGCTGATGAGGGGAAGATTGAGAACGTTCACACCCTTTTCCACCATGGGCGTGCATCCAGCAGTCACCTGTGGCGCGCCCATCAAGGTAAAAGTCAAGGTCTTCAAGAATGGAGGTTCGGGGGTCATGTTCAGACGCAGGCGGACTGTACCAACAAGGCCTTGCAGTTCGACAAAGATGGGCAGCGGGACACCGAAGAGACCCTTAATTCCTAGGTAGAATACCAGCTGCATGTGCATGTTCCTTGCTCTCTCGGATACTCGCTTTCCGCTGGGGCTGGCGTGGTAGGCGAAAGAAACTTCCAGGTTGTAGTAATCACCACCCTCCTCATCTGCTGCTGCTTCTTGAGGATCCTTTGTCTTCTTGTTCTCTTCGTGGATGGATTTTTTCATATCGCCCATGTGTGAATCCGGAAGCGCTCGTAAGCTAAGGATGCGCAACGGGTTACTTCCCTGGTTAATTTCGGCCACGCGGACGTTTTCAATGACACCAGGTACGGAAGCTTGCATAACGTCCTCAAGCATGTCAGCAACACCCGAGAACATGTCGGGGTTGATGAGGCCCCAGACGATGGCTAGCAAAGTGTTCATCCACTCGACGGACTCTGGCAACAAGTTCAAAGAGGCCTGCACGATGGTTAGTTAGTTCTGGCAGGGCATCTTTAGTAGACACGTACCATCTGGCCGCGGACTTGTTCGCTGTCCCATTCGACCTCTCTTCCGCTGCGCACAACCTCCTTCATCCAAAGATATACGCCAGATGCCAGGCACATACCAAGTGGTATAAGGCCCTTGAGGGCACCACCGAACATTTTACCAACGACAACCGTCCCGATGAGTATTCCCGCGCAAAGGTAGTTCGCTCGCGTTTCGAGGGCGGCAAACATAGGCTCGTAGCTAACTGAGGGCGTCGGATGGAAGAGGACGTTTGTCTTCTCACCGTGGATAGGTACGTCGGTCGTGGTGCCTTCGGCGACTGGATCTGGTGGTGCTGTGACATCCTGGTTGTACTTGTAGTCTTCGAGCGACTGAGAGGGATCGGTTTTTATTGGCTACCAGGTGTTAATGAAGGGTGATAGAGTCGGGAAGGGTGCCATACTGTTTGCTTGTTCAGGTTCGCATTGGGTACGACCAAATGCGGATTCTCGACCTCATCTATCATGTCCTTGTTGACATCGGCAATGACGACCTCCCTGCCAGTCGTAGGGTCTGTGACTGTCTTCTCTGTACCTTTTACTTGTCTTTCAGGCTGCTTGTGTGGTTGCGACTGTTGCTGCGTCTGCTGCTTGGCCTGTTCGTCCAATTTCTTGTCCCGGGCTGCCTTGTCCTTATCCAAGTTCTCCACGAACTGCCTGACGGTAGGGATCGGGTTGTGCCCTGAGTAATGTCCCCCCGGAGCATGTTGCTGCTGTTGTTCCGCCATTCTGTATGACCGCCCAGGTCGAGTGTGTGGACGTGCGACGAGACTCACCCAGCAATTGCGACTGTTGCGGGAGGATCAATGGATGTCTTGAGAGAGGTTGAGCCTAGCGAAGATCTCCCCGCTTAAGAGAAGCGAAAGCAAGGAACAAGCAAAGCAGAAACCATGAAAGAGATGCCGCGCGCGGGGGCTGCGAGGCTGCCGATTGCAGTCAATGACGTAGGGCAAGCAGGACCGATACTGGAACTGGGGCAGCCGCGTTACCACTTGCGCACGACGCATACTCAGCCTTTGCCTGTGCCACGACCAGAAGCTGAAAAGAAGCTGTCGAAATCTCCACTGTGGCTGAAATTCTGATAAACATCCTGGCCGTCACATCGCGACTCCCCACTGTGATCGGCTGATGACGTCAAGATGCATGCCGATGCGTCATCGACCAATCAGCGCGTAGCGGGGGCGATCATCCCCTCCAGCTTGGGACGACTCATGATCTCCCTACTCACGCTTGGTAACGGGAGTTACCCGCTACCAGTTTCCAGCACATTATTGGCCGGGTCTGCAATATGTCGGGCTGGTTCACCTTGTTCACGAATTGTCGCTACATCCTCAACGGCGAGCTTGTCGAGGACCATCTCGTAATCTCCGATGAGACCGGACTCATCCTGAAAAGAGAAGGCTACATCGGAGGCGAGGCCATCGATTTGGAAGACAGCATCATAGCCCCCGGCTTTCTGGAATTACATACTAATGGAGCGAATGGTTTTCACTTCACGCATCATGAAGACGAGAAGATGTATGCAAATAAGGTAGATGAAATCGCGAGGTATTACGCGACTCAGGGTGTCACGGGATTCTGGGCAACCATACCTACCGTAAAGAGTGATGAATTCCACAAGGTAAGACAAACATGACGCGCTGAAGCGTCTTCGCCATGTGCTTCAAACATTGTCAAGTGCACACAATGTGCAGCCTGCTGACAGTCCTCCAGATCCTTCCCTCTCTGAAGCCTCGCCAGATTGCCTCTTCAGCATCTCTTCTTGGAGCTCACACTGAAGGCCCATATCTACATCCTACCAAGAAAGGCGCCCATAACAGCTCCCTTTTCAGTTCTTGTTCAACATCCCCTTCTACCGTCTATGGATCCTCCAATCTGCAATCCACTGTCAAGCTCGTGACCGTCGCACCGGAGCTCCCTGACTCAGCGGCACTTATCAAGACACTGACGTCGCAGGGTATCAAGGTAGCGATGGGCCATTCCTCCGCCACATACGAAGAAGGATTGACTGGGCTCAAGGCTGGAGCAAGTGGCTTGACGCATACCCTGAATGCGATGCCAGCTTGGGCATCGAGAGCCCCTGGGCTGGCTGGATTGATATCGCTACCAGAAGCAGGAAATATTTCACCTCCATGGTACACAATCATCGCGGACGGGGAACATCTTCATCCAAATACCGTGTCTCTGCTTCATCGCTCCAACCCGAAGCGGTCAATTCTGATCACTGATAGTATCGAGCTTGCATCCCTCAAGGACGGGACATACCCTGGTCACTCGCAGATCCCTTTTGAGCAGGTCAAGAGCGGAACACGAGCAACAATCGCAGGAACCGATACGTTGATCGGCGGATGTATTCCACTCCAGCAGAGTATGAGGAACTTGATGAACTGGTCTGGTTGTGGAATCGCGGAGGCTGTAGGCACAGTGACAGAAAATGTGGCTGCTTTCATGGGTGTTGATGGCGAAGGCGGTAGAGGTATACTGAAGGAGGGCAGGAGGGCAGACTTGACTGTATTGAGTGAGCAAGGCGAAGTACTTCAAACATGGGTCGCTGGACATAAAGTATGGGACAGAGAAGAAGATATTCGAGCATATGAGGACGATGGTGAAGCGAGAGGTTAACGCTGACTTTCACTGACGACAATCATGTTAGGACGTTTCACATTGTGACGAGGGAACTAGATATGTGGTAGAACTGCGTAGAAATTTGAACACCGTACGGATCGAGGGCTTGCGTTGTCAAAGACCGTTGGCGTGAAGTCAAAGAACCTGTGAATCATCTCTGGTACTTACTTGATATATGAGCCACAGAAAATTCCTTTCTCAATAGTCTTAACTATACACTCCAAAAATATGAACAGCGACAAAACTGCCAATCTTCCGATGCATAGCACAGCATCCAAGTCCAGCAAGTCATCCCCACCCCTTATCATCTACGTGCTCGGCCCACCCTGCGCCGGCAGGTCGACGCTATGCACCACTCTCGTCAATAAATTCAATCTGGACCACTTTTCCATCGGCGATGAACTTCGTGATCTGATCTCCTCAGACACAACGGGCCATGCCGCACGTATCAAAAGCAAGCTGTCGGTTGCTGAGCTGTCGGACTTCGCCACGAACGTCAAAGCAGGAACATTGGCACCGTCAAACGTGACACCCAAGTATGTCAAGGAGCGTATATTTCCCGATGGTGTGGTACGACTAAACCTACGAATTCTAATCGATGGATTTCCGAGGGGAGTAGATCGCTGGGAGACGTTCAAGGACAGCGTGAAGGACATATGGCAGCCTGATAGTAGTACCTGGACACTCTTGCTGTGCGTTGATCGGGCAGTGGCTCGACAGCGGTTTTTGAGTCGTGGTAGGGCGGGGGATGTCTTTGACAAGAGGTTTGATGATCACGAAAATTCTATTGACAATATCGTGGCTGCCATGAAGCAGGATGGGGTAAATGTCGTCGAGATTCACCCAGGGCCAGACCGCGACTGGGAGGATGTGCTCAGCTTTCTCTATTGTATTCCTGGGTTGCATGAGACCTGACGACAGTAGATCGCCATCACGTCACAATGTCCCTCTAATTTAAACGTGTCCCAGCGAGTCAATATGCGGTTTAGGCACGACGGTAGGATCGACATCGCTGGCAAATGACTCTCGTTAGGAGGAGACGAGTTATCACAATGGAATAAAATAACGATTAACGTGCAGGAGTGCTACGTGTGATGAAGGCAAAAGCTTCCGAGTGTCTCAAAGTAATGTATCGCCACATTCGAGCCGCTAATTCAGGTGAAATCCAAAGCAGTAGATACCGGACGAGGTGTTCTTCTCACGCGCACAGGTCTAGATCAGTGAAGATCAAGATGCTGTTCGGACATGCCATACATAATGCCGGGATGTCCTAAGCGTGCGCGATGGTGAAGGGAAGCTCCTCGGCAGCGGTCGACAGATTTTGTCACCAGCCCCGCTTAGTCACCCACGCTAAAATGGCGCTACCATCTTCTCCCGACATTTGAATCTTTTCCTACAGCTCCAACATGGAAACTCTCGACAACACCGAGTGGGACGTGCTCATTGTAGGCACCGGCCTGCAGCAGTCTCTTCTCGCTTTGTATGTGCCTTGCTTGCCGGCGAGAGTGGCCGCGATCTGACTGACGCAGCGCTTAAAGAGCTTTGTCGCGCTCGGACAAGAAGATCCTCCATGTCGACGAGAATGACTTCTACGGCGGTGCAGAGGCTGCCTTTAGCTTACAAGAAGCTGAAGAGTGGGCACAGCGGATGAAAGATGGTAAGCAACGATGACTTGGAGAGATTTGGCTCTCGCTAACGCGTCCAAGACACAGTAGATACGGTCTTCTCCGATGTTACAATTACCAAGCCTGAGGTTGCTGACGCCGCTCCCGCACTGTCCTTCTCAAGGGCATACAGCCTGTCTCTAAGCCCCCAGGTCATCTACGCGCGCTCATCTATCCTCGGCTGCCTTGTCTCGTCAAGGGTTTATCGTCAGCTTGAGTTTCTTGCTGTCGGTACATGGTGGGTATACTCCACAGGTGCACAGAGCAAAAGCTCGTTGTCGCATGCGAGGCTGCTGAAGGTGCCAAACGGTCGAGAAGATGTCTTCCAGGATCACGACCTTGACTTCAAGGCCAAGCGCGCTTTGATGAAGTTTCTGCGCTTCATCAGCGAATATGAGGAACAGATCGAGGTGTGGGAAGAGCACCGTCAGCGGCCTTTCTCGGACTTCTTGACAGAGCAGTTCAAGGTTCCAGCAAGTCTGCAAGGACCACTGCTGGCACTCACACTCTCACCGGCCGGGCCTGATCGGACCACTACTGAATACGCTCTACCGAGAATTGCGAGGCACCTACGTTCGATCGGTGTGTTTGGGGCTGGTTTTGGAGCCGTCATCCCGAAATGGGGCGGCTTGTCTGAAATCAGTCAGGTGTCGTGCCGAGCTGGTGCTGTAGGTGGCGGTGTCTATGTCCTTGGAAAAGGCATAGCCCCAATCACTGAGGGCATCGCGAAGACAACCGAAAACGGTACAAAACTTTGCCTGAAAGACGGCGAAGTTGTTACTGCGAAGTGGATTGTAGGAGGAAACTCGTCAACCGCGTCTCAAGATACCTACTGCAGGTCGATGACCATTGTGTCGTCGTCTTTGTCACATCTGTTCCCGCCCATCGCAGAGGAAGCACCAGCACCTGCCGCTGCTGTCGTTGTCTTCCCGTCCGGCTCCTTGGCATTAGACTCTCAAGCTGAAGAGCTTCCGCCAGTTCATGTTTTCGTGCATTCGAGCGATACTGGCGAATGTCCCTCTGGTCAATGTAAGTTTGCTCTTCTCCTTACTCTTGCTGTTATGATGAACAAACATTACGAATACTTATCTACATTGTCTGAATACCATTGAAGACAATAACTCTGACAACCTGATACAACGGCACATCGTCTACACTTTCAACGCATGTTCTTATTGCTTCATGTCGCTGACTATTCCTTAGGTGTGCTATATGCTTCGACATCGATGCACAATCAAGACGGGTTTGCCCTGCTTCGAAAAGCTATAGAGTCGTTGCTCTCTGCCCAGGACATAACACCATCGCCTACGATACTGTGGTCTGTTGAGTACCAGCAACGGGCTTCATCTGGATCGGAGGCTCTACCGTTTGACAACGATCATGTCGTTCGATTCCCGCCCACTTCCATGGATCTCGCATTCGACGATGCAGTGCTTGAGAATGTCAAAGAGGTGTGGCAGAAGATCGTCGGAGATGAAGCGGGCGAATTCTTGGTATTCCAAGACCGAGAAGCTTACGACGATGACGAGTAACGAATTATAACTAGAGTAATGAAGCTATGATATTACAATACCTCAGTGCCTTCTCTTGATTGACAAATTTACTCCGAAAGCTTGTGCAGCCAAAACTCAAGGAGGAGAAATTTATTGGATGTAATGCCTATCCCCATCTTACTCGTCGTCGAGAAAATAAATCCGGCAGTCCTAACTCAGAATTTCATCTTCAGTTTCCATAATCTAGCCCTTGAGATCGTTCAGCCCTGGCCATCTAACCGCCATGTGTACATGATTCGTCATGTTGCAGTCCCAATTTGTATACAAGTTACACTTTTGTTGTGCGTCTGGTAAGTCTGGGGGTTGAGAGGTTGTCTCTGTGGCGGAGGAGGGTGGTGGCTTCCTTGGTGTTGGGCGAGAGTAATGTGTCGTCCTTTTTGTCTTCCGTGTCGTCTTCTCGCTTCAGGACTGCCTCAGGTAGATTTATGATAGCAGGGGTGGAGGACGAGTCTTCATTCACCTCCCTTGGAAGCTGTTCTTCACGCTCCGCAGCGTTGCTTGGTTGTACCCATGTAGTGACAGTGGTGGGTGGCAGTGAGGCCATCACTACACTCGTTATGACTGAAGTGACTGTTGTCACCCCGCCGCCTGGCGTTGTTGTGATCCAAACGACCCTGCCTGACAAAGTCCCTGTAGGCATGGGCATGGGCGTCAGACCAGGAATCAGAATGCTAGACAGATGCGGAAGGTCTATAGTTGATGGTTTGGGCCGAAGAGAAGGAAGATCGAGGAAACCGTGCCAGAAACCGGGTGTCTTCTTGAGCTGTGTCGGCGTTGAGGCGCTTTGGGTCACTGTAGCGGCATTGCTTTGCGGCAAAGCTAGAGCAAGAATGACAATCCAAAGCACAAGTGCGAGCATCTTGTTGTGTATTGTTGTTGTTGGTGTTTGCTCAACGGATTTGATTGAATATGGACGGTTCAAAGAGTTATTGTGGTAAGTTTGTCGGTGGTGAGTCAAATTTGTAACCAGCAACGCGTGTCATATATGTGCGGAATAAGTTCCTTCTAATGGCTGCAGTATATGAGGTGAAGGTGAAGGACTTGAACGCAAAAGTGTGAGTCGGAAGCATGTCACTCTTACACTTGAAGTATATGACGTGAAAGGGTCGTGATGAAGGTGAGTATGCTGCTAAAATGATTGATCCTAGCGTGATAATCTCCGAGGGTTCCCTACAATGTTCATATCCGGCTGCATTCTGTTGTTTATAACGCGCATGTGCGGTGGCTGATAATAGGGTCGAGTCCAACATGTATCGTCAGAATTTCAGCATCTTTATTTGTAGCTGACATACGATCTAGCATTTATTCCTGAATATACTTCTTGAGACTCCTTAGCCTTTCCATGGCGCTTTCAAGGACGTCATCGTTCTTACACACGGCAAACCGTAACCAGTCTTCGACAATGTGCGCATTACCTGGAGTAAAGAACTCAGTCGGGGGGATAGCTGCCACGCCAACTTCTTTGATCAAGAACCAACTGAGCTGGAAGTCCCTCGGCCTTTCCGCTACATGAGGGGGGAACTCGTAATCACTTGGTAGTTTGACCTTGGACATGTTCACCAACACGAAGTAACCGCCCTCTGGCTCTGAGTAGGGTAGCTTGAGCTCGTCAAAGACGGCGGTAAACTTGTCGATCTTTGCTTTCATCTCCTTCTTTGACTCTTCCCAAAAGTTGTGTGCATCGGCTTGCTCGAAACCAATAGCCGTTGCTTCTTGAAGCGGCGAGACACTGCTGTAGCAGATTCGTGTATGCGCTGCACTGACGTACTTGATCAGGTGCTCAGGACCGATCAGCCAGCCAACTCTCCAACCAGTAGCATAGAAGTTCTTGCCTCCTGAGCCGACAGTCAATGTGAGCTTGGCGATCTCCGGTGAAAGCGTAGCGACGCGGGTAAAAGGAACATAGTACAAGCGATCGTAGACTTCGTCTGAGAGGATGATGATGTTGTGTTTTACGCACATATCGCCAATAGCTTGCAGTTCTTCCTTGGAAAAGACCTTGCCAATAGGGTTGTGGGGAGAGTTGATGACAATCATGCGGGTCTTGGGTGTGATGGCAGCTTCCAGCTCTTTCATGTCAAGACTCCATTCAGCTGCAGACGTTGTCTTGGTCGCACCGTCTTTGGGGGGATGCAGAGGCACGTAGACAACCTTTCCACCTGGCATTTCAATATTGCTAATGTACTGGTCGAAGAAGGGCTCGAAGACGATGACCTCGTCTCCTTCTTCCAGAAAGCCCATGAAGGCACTAAGCATGCCTTCGTTTGCGCCGGTTGTGATTGTGACTTCCTTGTCGGGATCTAACTCGCGACCGAAGAAAGGAGAGTAGGCATTGGCAATGGCCTTCTTTAACCGCGGGCGGCCTTTGGTGGGCGAGTACTGGTTGCAGTCTACTTGGTCGAGGGCAGCCTTAGCGGCATCGAGGACGAATTTGGGAGGGTTGTAGCCAAAGAAGCCCTGGCCCATGTTGACGATGGGCTGCACAGGCGAGGCCGCCGCAGCTTCATTGACAATGGACCTGTCGCTGTTAGCTGTTGTCGCACGCTGGAGCTTAACGACCTACCAGACATCCTGCTTCTGCCCAGCGACTCGCTTCGCGGGCTTGAAGGGGTCTTCTCTTCTTGTTGTCGCAGACATGGCTCGTTGTGGGAGGGACCAGCTGGTGGGGCACTTTGGAGTTGAAGATGGTCTCTTGGTGGCGGTTCGGATGGATGTTGTAGCTCGAGTCACGATACTTCGCATGGCAGTATCATTGGCACATGGGAAATCCGCGAAGAGTCACAAATGGTAGCGCCAGGTATGAGAGAGGGTGCTTGTACAAAGTAAGTATTGCGTGCTCCAGTCCGTCGTCTGCCGTCATCAAGCGGGGGCATTTCCGAGATAGCGCCGGTCTCGCTCGTCGCGTTACCCCAGAATAATTCGCGTCGCGTGCGTCGAGCCACTCATCTTCGAATATGGTCGACTGCCCCATCTGCGCCAAAGCCGTCAAGGACGCCCGAATCAACGAACACATCGACAGCGGCTGCCAAGACTTTCTTCTCGAAGCAGAGCCACAGGGCACGCCGAGTTTGGGAAAGGCCTACAGCTTCTTCACCCCAGGCGCACGCAAACCCCCGGGCGCGACGCAGAAGAATGGACACCCAACCTCATCGCCTCCGCCTCCGCCAGCAGCCACGCAACTGGTAGAGCGATCCAAGACACCGCCTGCCTCGTCCAAACGTCCTTTTGACGAGGCAGCAGATGCACAGACAAATGGCGAGCCGCATTCGCCATCAGCCCCAAAGCGGGCGCGGAAGCTCAAGGCAGTTGCCGATGCCATGCCGCTGGCTGAGCGTATGAGGCCTATATCGTTGGACGATGTATATGGCCAAGAGCTCGTCGGCCCTGGCGGCGTTCTTCGAGGCATGGTCGATGAGGGCAGACTGCCATCAATGGTGCTCTGGGGACGACCGGGAACGGGTAATGTTTCCTCTACATCTTGCACGCTCGACTCGAGAGCTGACTATTTGACAAGGCAAGACTACAATTGCACGCCTAATCGCCAACAAATCAGGCTCGCGCTTCGTCGAGATCAACAGTACAAGCACAAAGCTCGAGGAAGTGCGCAAGATCTTCACAGAAGCCTTCAGGGAGCTGCAGCTGACGGGTCGAAGGACCATCGTCTTCTGCGACGAGCTGCATCGCTTCTCAAAGACACAGCAAGACGCTTTCCTTGGGCCTGTAGAGTCTGGCACAATAACCCTCATAGCAGCAACAACCGAGAACCCATCCTTCAAAGTCATCTCTGCACTGCTCTCAAGATGTCGCACCTTTACGCTCGACGACCTCAAAGAAGACCACCTGGTGCGAATACTAGAACGCGCAATGGCCTCCGAAAACTACACATCTCCCATCCTTGACAAGTCAATGCTGGATTACTTCGCCCGCTTCTCGGACGGTGACGCCAGAACAGCCCTCAATCTTCTCGAACTAGCTATGAACCTAGCGAAGCAACCTGACATGACCAAAGAGAAGATACAACAGAGCCTCACCAAAACCCTGGTATACGACCGCGCCGGCGACCAACATTACGATACCATATCCGCACTGCACAAGTCCATACGAGGCTCCGATCCAGACGCCGCGTTATACTACCTAGCACGTATGCTAGAATCTGGCGAGGACCCACGATACATAGCCCGCCGCCTCATCGTCGTCGCATCCGAAGACGTGGGATTGGCAGATAACACCATGCTATCCCTCGTGACAGCCACATATTCCGCCTGCGAGAAGATTGGCATGCCCGAGTGTCGCATCAACCTCGCCCACGCCGTCACTGCCCTTTCTCTCTCACCCAAATCGACGCGCGTATACCGAGGGTTGCACAGTGCCATGGACGCGTTGAAGGAGCCAGGAGTCGCCGCCTTGGCCATACCGCATCACATACGCAATGCGCCGACAAAGTTGATGAAGGACTTGGGCTACGGTGATGGATACAAATACAACCCGGACTATCTAGACGGCAAGGTGAAGCAGGAGTACTTGCCCGAGGCACTGCGAGGCCGTTCGTTCTTAGAAGACACTGATTTGGGAAGCAAGGTTGATCCCGATCTTATCGAAGACGACGAGTTGATGCCTGAGATTGACTGAACGCAAGATTTGGATAGCGTTGACTCGAATTAGTTGCATCTACTCAGCATTATTTTGGAGTCTGGCATAGCAAATATGATACCCATCACGCGATTCATCCTGTGCCGGTCATACGCGAGTGGTGAATGTGTTCAGTCGACTTACCTACAAATCTTGGATTCTCTAAACAAAACAGCTAGTCGCGATATGCAGAAGGTCTGTTTCAGGTGCTGTGTGCCTTGATATGCGATACTTGGGCGCCCGCTCGATATGTCTTACGTCCCCCCGCGAAGGGCGTTTGCTGACAGCAACATCCCTTGTAGTGCTCATCCACCCCTCATCCTCGAACCCAATGCTCTTTCCTATCGTCCACATCGTCTCCATACTGCGATACCACTTCTATCTCTAGGCCAAGCCATACATCCGGATGCGAAGTGCGATAGTCTACTATTTCAAACCACCTGAGTCGATATCTTGCTCGGTCTGTCAGGGCAAGATGGATAACGGTACAATCGGCATCATCATCTTCTTCATTGTTAGCTCTTACCTTGGTCATATCCTTCTTCATCGCGTTATCAAGACCCCGGCGCAGTACGAAAGACCGAAAGTAGCGACGGTAGATGACGGAAGTGAGTATAGCATGTCATGGACAGAAACAGCGACTATTCAGTGAGATGCAAGGTCTTGGTAACTTATTCTAGACAGACAGTAAGACCATCCAGCCACGTCATGAGACGCTACCAAGCATACAATTCTAACGAACTCAGAACAACCAAGGTGACCAACGTACGACACGGTCTCCCAGTCTCTCGGTTTAACTCGATTTCCCCTTCTTCGCTTTTCCCTTCGCCTTTGCATCACCACGTCCTGCTTTCTTTTCAGATGTCTTTACGGGTGTCTTCCCAGCCAGCGTATTCATACCCCGAGCTTTTTCCTTCTCCCGCTCCCTCGTACACATTTCGCAATACCACTCTTCTTCTTCTTCTGGGATCGCCTTGCGGATGTTAATGCAACGACCATGATACCATCCGACTGGACATTGTTCGTTGTCGCAGCAAACCATGAGACTGCCGTCGTCAGGAAGGCGACACGAACAATAGGGATTGGGGTCGTGCGCAGTCTGAACTTGGGTTTTTGGTTGCGATTTGCGTTGCGCTGTGGTCTCGGACTTGGCTGGAGCCTTAAGCTTTGCTTGAGGTCTAGTCTTGGGCTGCTTCTGTTTTGTTTCATCGGCAGGCGGGATGGGGGTTCGGTGTCGCTGAGATTGACGGCGTATGCTCTGGACAGCTTGTGGTTCGGAAATGACAGGAGCAGAAACATTCTGTACAGCTTGTGGCCTACCTTGCACTACAAATTCGGCTACGATTTGCGGAACAGCCGTTTGAGCAGTTGGCGGTTCGGACAACTTCGATGTCTCAGGTATAGGTAGACGGAGGACTGGAACCTTCGAATCGGTACTACCCTGCTCCAAGGGCCAGTCTTCTACCCTAAGGAAGCTTCCATTCCCACTCAGCTTACCTTTCTCGATTGTGAAGCGTCACTGGAGTTGTCCCTTCTCATTCATCACCTCGATGCTCTTATCGTACAACTTGGTTTCGCCATGGCCTTGGAGGTACATGGCCGCTGATTGCTTCATCGCATGATTGGCTTCACCAAGGCTCTTGAAGCCACCAATGAAGAAATGCTCTGCTTCATCCCTGGTATCGCAGTGCAGGTCGATGTACATACCATAATGTACAGGCAGAGCAGGCGATGCGCTGGCACGCTGCCAGATACGATCACCGTTGGTGTCTTGACGAACAGAGGAGACTGCGTCCAACTCGTAGCGCAGAAGAATACGGTTTCTACTGTCCAATATCTCGTAAAGGTTATTAGTGTTTAGCTCTCTTGTCGCGCCCCAGTGTACGTTTGCCTTAATTTCCCCAGCAGCATGCTTACGCATGGCTTCGTAGGCACTGGTGAAGTCTTCAGACACAGTAATGAGTCGTGACACTGCGCTGCCTGAATCTTTGAGAAGATCGTGCATGTATACGCCATAGTGGATGGCAGAATCTGGAGACTCATCAGCGGTAGATGTAAGGGAATCTTGTCGCGCCATCTTCGGAGCGCGCTGAGGAGCGATTGCGGAAGTCACTGATCGCTTCCCCTTCTCAGGAGTAGCGGCAGGTGCCATTAGACTCATGTTGGGCTCAGTGATCTCGGTCTCGGAGATAGGAGGAAGAGCTGTTGCAAATAACAGTATTGCGGACTGGAAGACGTTAAGATGTTTCCTTCCAAAATCACAAGACAAGTTAGAGTTGGGTCAGTGGGGAGTGGTTCATGGACGAATATTAGAGCAAATGTTGACTGTAATGCAGTGAGCTACCGAACAAGGTGAGTGCTTAGAAGTGAATTTGTATACGTCCGTGTTTGTGGGTATCACTATAGAAAGATGTTTCTTTGATGATGTTGCGATGAAAGCCCGGAACAAGCGAAAAGCATTCTAGTCCAGTGAGAGCATTGGCTCAGGGCCTCGAGACTTTTGATTGGGACCCTGCGCCGATTTGCCACGAAGATAACCTGGAAAGCCGAAGAGAAAGATCTAAAAAGTCCCAAAGAATCGCAAAATCTGTAGGCGCCATGCAAAAACACAGATGATATCCATTTGAGCGGAAGCGAAAGCCGTCGTCATACAGGATCCATCAATATTCACGCTCCAACTGGTACCTCCGCGGCCTTCACATGGTCTATAGTAGTCCGCCCTAGGCCCTCTTTGGCATAAAAGTCCATAGGATAGAGATTCTTTCTCTCCTTTGCTTCAGCTCTCCTCACTGTGTCGTCTTCCTCTAGCCATGGCGCGTCTCTCACGCCGAGCGTAACGAGTGCCTCGTACGGGCTCAACAGCGGCCTTGGGAAGGCGTAGCCCCAATCGATGCTCAACCTGGGACATGCGATTTGTACCCAAGCCTCTACATCTGACATCATTGCCAACTTTCCAGGGAAGATCTCCGACATGAGCAAGTTGACACACTTGATACCTTGTCGCGCCAACTCGTTCTCAATGAGCGTCAGGGTGTGTGGGTTTCCCTGTCGGCCTAGCGAGCCAAGAATAACACCCCAAGTGCGTGCTTTCCGGGCTGTGAGGATGGCAGTGCGCCTCAAGTCGTAGAGAGAGTCGTGTTCATAAGTCTCATGTGTAAGTCGCCTCGAGTATGGATCGTAGCGGTATGCAGGTATATGTGGGTTGGCGATCATGGCGCTCTCAAGATGAAAACGTCCATCGCCAAGATATAGTATCATGTCGGGCACCTCCTCCTCTTTGCCTCTCGAATTGAGCTGACCTGGCTTGATGGCCATTGACGGTGACGTGCAGCCGAGAATTTCACCCTTGGATAGAGGTGCAATCTGCGGCACAAATGGGTTGTAGCCTTCCTTGCGCAGTATCGGCACGATGCCGTGTATTGTAGCGTTGAATTGAATAGTACTAACCAAAGCGATAGTCTTTCCGGCAGCGAAGTTTTCTGTGATGGTATTGATCAAGTGCTGTGTGTCGATACTGATGGAGACGAAGATGTACAACGTCGCGATCTTGGTCACTGCTACCGGTATCAGACAACTGTGCGCGTAATGTATCAAAAGGTCGCAGCCGAGCGCTCGCGCTGTGTAGTCGTCTATGCAGCACGCCCCGTATGTGACATCACCCATTATCAACGTCGAAGTACCAGGGCAGAATCGCGTCAGAATGTCGGATATGGTGGTTGCGAATAGCAGCAGTCCCTCGGGAAACTGTAAAGCTATCGACTTGGCTCCTGATGTCCGTATGCGGTGTATACATTTATGGATCTCGAAGTTGTAGTTGGGCGGCAGGAGCGCGATGGCGTCGTTGATTTCTTGGTCGTGCAGAATCTCGTCGGGGATCGCATTCAGGACACGAGCTGTACGCCGAGGCTGGGCAACTTGGGTACATGTTAGATCCTCAGTGCATTAAACAGCTCTTCTGTGGGCTCCTCACACCTTGTATCGCGCTCGAATCTTCAATATTGGCATTGGGGTCTGCTTGCTGCTCGCCCGCCTTCTCTCCTGCCTTTCTCCCTACGAAGCGCCTTTTCGGCTGTTTCTGCACGGGCGCAACCTCTTCTGGCATACCCTGGTCCGCATCGGGACCCAGGTTGGTTGCAGCTCTATCGTCCTCCATTGTGTGTGGTTCGTGGTTGAGCGCGTCGCGGGGATCGGGTGGGATGATGTGGCGGGGCGAACATTTTTGGCAGGGCTGAACTTCCAGGGTCCACAAGTGTCACTTCTTCAACTCTAGCCCGCTAGCTAGTACTCACTGATTAGAACAAGACGATATATACGCCGCTGGGCCTTCGAATACCGAGAAGAACAGCATGCCTACCAACAACATGACAACTTCCCCTCTCGACTCGAAACGCGTGCTCATAATCAAGAGGGCCACACACCACCAAGTGGCATTCTAGCAAAAGCGCATAGCTTACATCCAACTTATAAGTATGCCTTTACAATCATTTCATTAACATTATATGCTTCAGCAGTACCATTTTAGGTCCAAAGCCATAAAGGAAATAAAGATCTATATTGGGTATCACGTAACACAAACAGCCACGTACTGCACGTACAAGCACCAACCATTTCATATGTTCAGTTTCCCTCCAAGCCAGAATCCGCCAATCCACAGGGCACCCCAAACTGGCTGAGAGAAAGCTCGAAGCACCGCCGGGCCGGGACACGTTCCTGTCAAGCCCCAACCAATACCAAAAGCCACAGCTCCCATCACGAATCTTTTATCCACGTCTTGCAAAGTCTTCGTAGGCAGCGAGAACTTGTCGGCGAACGATGGTGAGCCGTGAAGACCTTTCACCTGATTCTCGATCAGATTGGGTAACACGCCGAAGACTATGACCAGAGCAAGGGATGGATCCCAGTGTTGCAAGTTTGGGAAAGAAAGGAAGGCTGCAACTTTGTCTGGGTGTGCCATTTGCGAAATATGGAGACCAAGAGCAAAGAGTAAACCTGACAATGCTTGCGTGGTGACACGCGCAGCAGACTCTTCTTTGGCGTCCTTGGTGGTGGTGGTGGGCGAAACTGTGACTTGAGCCACAATTCCGGGTATCGTTCGAGTAGCGATTATGCTCAGCGCTGCCAACACAAGAAGTGACACAGTCGTCTCTGTAGACGGATATACGGGTGCATAGCATGGTGTAATGCTAGGGCATACCGACGTCGATAAACTTGGGTGAGCGAAATGATGGGTTATGACTGCCGTGGGAAAGAACGTAGCGACGGCGACGGCTGAGCGGCCACTCAGTCTGGAAAGACCACACAACATGTGTCCGGAAGTGCATCCATTCGACATCTGGTTGTTCGAGTCAGTCCTGTAAGATTCCTCTATTGGGAATCTCTCACCTTAGTTCCCCATCCTATGAGGGCACCAGTTGCTACTGTTGCAACGACAACTTGAGAACTGATTTGTAAAGCAGGGTACTCAGTGATCAACTGTGGTGCTAATGCTTTCAATGGCACGTAGCTGGCGGCCATGCCAGTAAAGAAGGCGAGCAGTTCTTTCGTGGGCGCTGAGAAGAATCTGCGTAGATAGCCGCTGGCACCCAGAATATCTCCATTCTGATAAAGGAGGTTGCTAGTTGCTTGATGCAGCAGCAATGCGCCGATGGTGGTCTCGATAGGCGTGAACATTCTCTTGGTAAGGTATTGTCGTATCGTCGATAGTCTTTACTTTCAAGACTTGACTTTCATCAAGGGGTCTCCCTAACGGATGGTGCAGCAGAACGAAAGTAGCCAAATCAAAGCAAGCCACAGCCAATACAGGCCAGCAAGCCATTTGTAGACACCTCATTATGAACCCCTAGATGCTAATCAGTCCTAGATCTTCCTCGCTAACGGCCCAAAGCGGCACACGTGCCAATCGCCGTGTAAACATGCTCCTAGTCGGCGACCTCGAAATGCAAATGTGGACTTAGCCGAGATGTGGCTATTCTGACGATGGTAATATCGTGGAGGACGGACTGGTGGCGCGCCGGCAGCAGACATGCACGTTCCCCTAAATTGCCTAGCGTGGCCCTTAAACGTGGCTTGCGCGTGGCAGGTGCGCGGGTCTTGGGCGACGAGAATGGACCTTAAGGATAAGACAAGGGAACATTACGCGGGTTATGGCTTGCACGACCGCATGGCAAGGCTGATGGCTTTGAGGGAGACGTTTGGTCGAGTCGATGAGACGTGTGACGACTTGACATGTCGTATGATTGCTGCGTCGTAATGACGGATGGAAGTTGTCCCTGTCCAGATGTGTTCGGTGTCCTTGAGAATGGTCGGCGACTTCTTCTTCGCAACACGTAACACCGGGAATACCACGGAGTCACTGCAATACGGTATGAATTACTAAGATGATCCGAAAGGTACCGGTCGGTGTCTAGAAGGTTTCTAGAAGGACTTTGTGCGACAAGTGGAAGGCGCTGTCGGGCAACAGCCACTGGCGCAACTTCCATCAATGACGTCTACAACAGCCGCGGGTGGCCTCTCTACAAGACGCGTCGCTTGTCTTCCAGTAAACAATCTCAAACACGAGTTCTCGAAGTCCTTCACACCGCCGCGGATCGACCGCATATAGGACCCGCTTATCTACATTATTCTCCGTGGTTGATCTGCAAGTCGAAGCGACCTCGCCGACCAGAAGGCCTGTTGTGGAAGCAAAGAAATACTTCTCAAATATGAGCAAGCATGCCAAATTGCCCAACGATTTGCGACACGCCGTTGACGCCCGCGAAGACACGCTGCGAATATCTTTGCATCCTGGGTTAATGCCAGCCTTTAATTCCCAAACAACTCCTCGAACCACCCTCTCGCCCAATAAACCCGCAACCCATTCCACCTCATCAAGCCCTCCAACCCAACCGCTGCCAGCCACCCATCCATCTTCCCCTGCCTCCTATTCCGTCTGGCCGTATGACTTCGCATCCAAATCTCACCGAACTCTTTCTCGATCTCGATATGCACCTTGACATGTCTCGCACAAATCCAATCCAGATCAGGATACACCAACACCTCCCTCACAGCCATGGTAAAGAAGGAGCGCCAAAGCGGGTTCGTGTGTAGAGAGAAGAGGGTTGCGAAGTAGGTGCTGGTATCCAATTGCTCGTTGCGCCTCAGCCTCTCGCGCATACACTCAGCGTCATCAAACCTGAATAGAAGCTCGGGTTGACGAAGTTGGAGAGTAAGAAGCGGCGCTATGTCAACGCATGATCGATTCGTTCGCCATGCATCCTCACCATCCCAGTTTTGCACTCCGATCACCACGTCGCCGACTGGCATGACGATGTCGCGTTTGGTTATATTGAGGTCTTCGACAGCAAGAGCAAACTTGCGCATGCATAAGTATAGATCCGTGTGTGCTGCATATATAGGGAGGTACTCTGAGCGTACTTGGCGACAGGTTTGTGCAAGGCCTAGGTCCTGACGTTGGAGACGGTGCCACTCTACGTTCTTGTGGTAGTCTTTGATGTGCTTTAGTTTGACTCTCGTTTTCGAATTCGAGCATGGACCGTCTTTTGAACAGGCTGATACGAACAGGTAGATGATATCGCGGAGTTCTAGGGGTCAGTATTAGAGAGTTGGGATACTGCATAGAGATTCACGATGACGAACGTACCGCCCGGCAGATCCAAGAAACCAACTCTTTGGTTGCTTTTGAGCCCACCGGATGCATCAGGTTCTACGCGAATTGATCTATCCATCTTGCTGGTTTGCGATATTGCAACGTTTTTCGTCTGGGGGGGTTCGATCACCCAAAGTTTTCGTAAACGGTCGCGGTCACAAAAGTCCTGCTACAAAAAAGACTAAGCAGTATATTCAGAAACATCTTGACGGCATTTATAACAAAGATTTGACCTAGTCATGTCTACTGGTATGACTCTTTCGCACGTAGTGTTGTGCACAGCCACAGCTTACATCCCTAAGATGGATTAGTCCTTGATCGATTGGGTGCGAGGCTGAAAACAAGCTGAACTGGGAACGGGAGTATCAGCCTTATGTTCACATACTAGGCTAGTAGTCGAACCACATATACTCAAGGTCTAACCACATGCTCAAGAAGTTCAAGACCGATATCTTTGATACATTGTTTCATCGCGTGTTCCTTCTCTCAAGTACAATAGTTCGGACAGAAATGGAGGTCTACGAGGCCAGCTCGATGAGCAAGGCCCTTTCCGAAACGTCCAAGGGTCTGCGATGCTACAGCAGCATTATTTTCAGGTTCATATTCGACATGTCGTTCTTCCAGGAAGCTTCAATACACCTCACCAAAGCCCTTTCTTTCCGCATCTTGCATCTTGTCAATCTCCGTCTCTCCAATCTTGGTCTCGGTATTACCAAACTCGTCATTTGCTTCTCGCTCCTCCTCGCTCTTCTCGACAATCATGTTACCCTTGAGCGCTTCCACGAGGATTGGTTCTCCTTCCTTCTCCTTGGCGAACGCAGCGTCGTCACTAGTGGCATCGCCGTCACCTAGTCTGTCAGTTCTGGCACCGTTGCCCATGCCTGATTCCTCCTTCCAGCTCTGCTCTGTCTGCTTGCGTTGCAATTTGCGTTCCTTGGACTGCTTACGCTGTGTTGAACTTGCCCGGAGGAACTTGCGGTGGTGAACCTGTTGCATACCTGGGAAATAGTCTGAATCGTCAGAGAAGCCCTCGCCTGGTGTCTTATGGGGCTGCAAATGGCGAAGGACGGCAGCGGTTCGCGGTTGCGCATGGTTACCCGATCGCGATATGGAAGAAGCTGCTTCCTCGCCCTCACTGCTCGTAGCATCGTTGGACGCATCGTTTGGAGATGCTGGTGTTGGTGGCATTTCCGGGATATTCTTAGTGCTCTGTTTTCGCGATAGCTTCGCCGGTGAGGGTTCATTGATGATGGGAGCATGTTCAGTCTGCGGCGCTGCGACGGGGTGATCTTCCTGTTCGCTTTCTACTGGCTCCATATGTGTGACTGCGGGGGGAGGCAGCTGCTGGGATTGATGTCCCATGTACTCCATGGTGTTCTTGCGCATTGGTCGGCGGGGGTAGTTGATCTTGTCATGATCACAGCCGTTGACGCAGCCTCCCCATCGGCGCGTAGGTATGGTAGGGGATGATGTGGCTCCTGTTTGACCTAATCCAGTCAAGGGTGTAGCTCTGCTCGGTGTAGATGAGGTAGCGCTCTTGGTCTCTTCTTTCTCCTTGGCAGCGCGGCGCTTGAGTTCTGACCATGTCCGTAGCTCGTTCTGGAGGATATATCGGCCGTTGTTCTCGCTTCGCTTCATGATGATGAATTCGCAGTGGTTGACGTTACGGAGGTCTTCGAAATACTCAACCGACCAATGGTACCTGATTGTGTTAGCACTCTGAACAAGGACCTCGAGCTCCAATGCAGCTCACCATTTCATGAGAAAGACACGCGACATCAGCCCGTGAGTAACCAGGACGCAGACACTGGGAAAGTTGTCGTCTTGGAAGGATCTCCACAGGCTCTCGTTGAAGCCACTGACACGATCGTACGCGTCTGCCGCGCTCTCGCCATCAGGTATGCGGTAGAAGAAGTGACCATAGTCGGCCCTCTCCTGCCACATGCGCTCCATCTCGGCGGAACATGGCTGAAAGTTGCCAAAGTCCTGTTCTCGTATCCGTGGCTCTTCGTATACGGTTATCTTGTTGCGAGGAAAGGGCGATGGCGTGGGGTCGTCCGAGGTCAGCGTGCGGAGGATGCCTTCTGTCGTTTCGCGCGTTCGGCGGTAAGGTGAAGTGTAGAACTGGAGTGTATCGTCTGGCTTGAGGAGAGAGCGCAGTTGTCGCCCCGCTTCTTCTGCCTATGGTGGCCTGAGTCAGTCATGTCTCGTCTCAAGCTTCGGGGCACAGTGAGCGTACCTGTGTCCAGCCATGCTGGGTCAGTTTCACTCGGTGGTCAGGGATGAACTGGTGGATGTCGCGATTCTTGTTTCCCTCGGATTGGGCATGGCGGATCAGTATGATCATCTGCGTAGCAATCAGCCATTGACCTTGGTGGTATTAATAAAGTGGACCTACGCGGGGTTTCCCCATGTTGGAGTAGGTGGGATGTGTGGGCGGAGAGGCTTTTGTCGGCTTATATATGGGTAGTTGCTGCTATGACAAGATACAGAGAGGTTTGCAAGGCACCAAGGAATTATGTACAGAGGTGCAGGGAAAGTGCGATCAAGGGCGTTTCATGTGTTGCTGCAAGCCCGACGATAGCGGCGGATGGCGACTTCGCTGGCGCAAATGGCTCGTCTCGCCGGCCGTAGCGGGCGTTCGCCGCAAATGCTAGCGCGTCATCCCTCGCGACTGCTTCCTAGTCCTCACAACTTTTCTACATTGCGCCAAACTATCTATTTCACGTCGCATCACACTGCCTAATCGCATCTGACTCGCCAAACAAACCTCCGCCTTCAGTCAGCTGGGTGCTCAACACCCATCATGTCTGAACCCATCCCCGAGTCGATACCCACATCCGCCGACTCGCGCTCTCATCGCCCAACAAAGAAGCGCGCCCTCACTCCACGCTCAGCACAAGCCTCACAGGTCGAGGCCCTCTTCGCAAAACCCGACCGCGACATCCACATCCCAGGCTCCAGCGCGCTAGCCAAATCCTCTCTGCCCCCAGAAATTGTTGCCAATGTACAAGGATCTAGCGCAGGTGCTGGAAGTGGCGAGTTCCACGTCTACAAGGCGAGTCGGAGACGCGAATACGAGAGGCTGAGGATGATGGATGACGAAGTGAAAAAGGAGGAGGATGAAAAGGAGTTTGCAAAGCGGAAAGAAGAACTAGAAAAGAAGGACAAAGAGAAGACCGAGAAGAACCGACTGAAGAGGGAGAAGGCGCGACAGAGGAAAGAGAAGGCTAAAAAGGGTGGAAAGGGCGGCGAAAGGGATGGTACGCCGACCGCAGAGGACACTAAGACGAAGAAGAAGTTGGCGCCGAATGCGAACGCACCAAAGACTAGTGCAGAAGAGGACGCGGATACAAACAACCAAGGTGGAGAGGTCAAGAATGCCGAAGAGATTGGCTTGGTCATTGAAGACGACGATTGAGAGACATAGGCGCATAATCATGAAGTGGTTGCCTGGGGGGAAGAATAGTAATTTCAATCCAGCAAAGCTTCGTCAAGAGCTGATGGAGATACCCGTCACGTATCTGGATCAGAAGGTGCGGTGACATGTTTTACTCAAGAAATTCAGTGCTGACCTTAGGTGCGAAAAGAGTACTTACAGTTGTCACCTCATGCCAATAGTCACACTGTCCTCTGCCTTGCGCAATTTCCTGATCAACAGTCGCAACCCCTTCGCAAATCGCTTGGCGACTGGCGTCATCAACTCGTTGCAACTTGCGCTCGATTCGCGTCACGCATGAGCAATCAAGGCTCTGTTGCTTTTCAGTGATCAGCAGTACGACAGGAGAATTATGCAGGTGCGGCCCGGTAAAGTTGGCGGCTTTTTACATTCCAACCAACCACACCCACTGTCTATCGCAGTACCTTGCCAGCGTCATATGTCTGGCTCATTGCAACCTTATTTCATCTACTCTCGACAAAAAACCATTTACTTCATCCTCGATCTGCCAATCGAAGTGACTGCGCCATGAGGGCTGGGTGTTCAAGGCATTACCGCAGTCAAATTCCGATGAGGCGCAAGAATGCCGGGTTAAAAGCCGCCCCTCAAATACCAATTTACCTGGAATTCAACCTTGATTGATACCGGCAGACCTTGTAAAGCTCCTTGTGTCTTGCCCAGGAGGCAAGTTTGTTGGACCTTAACACGTATTTTGACAACGCCGACTTGCCGACGCGCTCAGAGCTGCTTACGCCTCAAGACCCACAAAAAGTACTGCTGAGTACTTCATGAGCTCACCACTGGTCATGGCGGAGGAGACCCGAGCCGCAACCAATGCCAGCCTCTAAGCCCTCAGAAGAGCAGATCCCTCGTTATTTCTGATTCAGAGCAGAGAGAGGGCCGGATAAACAGCCCAGTAGCTTCTCTCTAAGAGAGACACGTCCACGATCTTGGTACCCAAAGCGGACAATCTGGACTTAGTCCCTATCCGACTTCAAGCAGCATCAGTCGGACCTTGGGTATAGTCACCCACATACTGCCATATCTGCCGACTTTTCTGAAACTCCGATTCAATGCGAAGTCGGAGGCTTTAGGCCACACAGTCGATTAGACTATTTCTATTGGATAGTATAGATGAACCGTTTCAAGCCATACCTTTGCAGCGGTTGTACAGATCGTCTGCACCTCCAAAGGAAAGCTTAATTAGACAACAGACCTGGCAACAGCCTGCGATAGATTACCCACTCTCCGCTACAACCTAGCAAAACCCTCCTTGTGTAATACCCACGCAACGTCATCTCTGCTCAACAACATGCCGGCCCCAAAGCTCCGCGAGTGAAAGAATTCTCCGACATCTGGGCTTTGATAGCCGGGCAATCATTGCGTTGCTAACATGTTACATGCGATATTGGGGTTCATCTACGTAGGCTTGTATTCACAGGGGTGCGCTACATCGGTAATCTACACTGACGTCTACTAGTCGGGTACGCGTACGCTTTGAGGACATTGAGCCATGGATGATCAGAAGTATAAGACAACCTCATGTCAGAAGTCTAAGTCGACATCAGCAAACAGCATTCACTCCACTCACTGACCAACTCAAACATTCGTACTCGATCTACCACTCATCATGAAGTTCA